ATGTAATTATGTACGAATGTTAACACTCTGTTATAATTCTTTAGTATATTACTTGTGTGGTGTAGAAGATAATTATTTAAGAATGTAATTATGTACGAATGTTAACACTCTGTTATAATTTTTTAGTATATTACTTGTGTGGTGTAGAAGAGAATCATTTATTGCTTGCAAACCAATGATGGTAAGATGATGTCACGGGGTAGGACTGGATAAGTCTGACTTCTTCCTACTCCATTCAAACATGTACTAGGTATAAGCACATTGATATTGGATTAGCATTTGTTGGATATGTGTAAAATTATGTGTGTTGTCATATCAACTGTCTTTACATGCTTGAAAGAATAAATCAAATCAATTGTTTAGGACACCTTGCAATGCAGATTATCCAAATATTTTACCTTGCTCTATCAAACTATTTTTGATATGTGAATTATTTTTATGCATTTATTTTTCACTCAGGGCTCTGTTCATTAATACAGAGAGCTCACAATTTGCGTTTACATATGATGACAATAAAGTTTGACTTTGATCATAAAGTTAAGAACCTTACATCAACTTCTGACAAGGTCTGAGTCCACTTGTAGTTGGGCAGGTCACCTCCGTTTCCTGCATTAGGCTTCAGTTTATCTTTGTCCTTCTCATCCTCCTCTCCTTCTGAGTCAGACTGGGGAAATGGAAATTATAAGTAACAAATTAAAAGAGTAATGCAGAACTCGATTTACTGCTCAACAACAATTTGCCAAACATTTCACTCACCCCCTTCTCTTTATCCGCTTTGTCAGATGACTTCTCTGCACTTATTGCTGCATTCTCTACTTTCTCCTCTTCTTTCTTCTTCTACAACAACAAATAAACGTAAATACGTCTAACATAACAATGGCAGATACTTACATGACACAGCATCAAAGCAGCCATATTTCACCTTGTCGAGTTCAGACTGAAGTTTCTCTGCTTCTTCATCAGTCAGCTCCTGAATTCTGGGACCGTCATTTTTCTTTTTCCTCTCATCCTCTGCTAGCTTAGCAGCTCTTTCAGCTTTCTCTTTCTTTTCCTTCTCCTGCTTCACGTGCTTCTCTTTGTGGGCCTTCAGCGCTAGCTTACTGTTGTGGGCAAAAGCATCCTTCACTAGCTAAAAACAAAAAGAGATATCAAGGAAATGAGGGACAAGTGAGAGTGTACCTATACTGGTTTTGACAGCATAGTCTCAAATGTCAGAAACTACAGATATAGTAACGTTACTCACCTTCTCCGCTGCACCTGCATCACCACCGGTGAAGAAATCCGTTTTGCGGCGGAGGAAGCTGAAAAATGTGTTTACTAACTGTCAAGAGAAAAAGAGACTGTCACAACCAATAACCAGTAGCGGAGTGGTAGATAAAATACCCCATTTTAGCACCACACCTATAGAGTTATTATCCACGAATACAAACTATCTGCGGGTGTGTTTAGCATGAACCACAATTAGCCTGAACTGAAATATTATGCTGCTAGGATAATAGTTAAATTCACCGGGACACCAGCGAATACAGACGTAAGGTTGTGGTGTGTCGAGCAAGAGAGCTTTCTGACAATGACAACAATGTTGGCTAAAAACTGTAACACTTTTGAAAATATTTGGTTTTACAAGCAGCTTGAATTCCGAGCTGTGACAACTAAGGCTAGTGTTAGCTGACAAGATAACTGCAGTACGTTAGCTTAAACATTAGCGCAAACGTTTTAGCGCATTAGTAAGAGAGTGGATTACCTCTTGTACCCCTCCGTCATGTTGTTGTGCCATAACCAGCAGCATACCATCAAATTTTTCTTCGTCATCACCCATGCTTTTGGAATAAGAATTGTTTAGGAAATTCACAGCAGCCCAAATAACAAGCAAAGAGTTACGTTAACGACAACGTGAAGCCCGTGGTAACCAGGCACTTCCTGAAAACAAACTCCGCCTGCGCTTATTTTGACCAATTGGAGCGAGACATTCTAAATGACAGTTAAAATACCAAATACCGTGAGAACACTGGTTTGGGGCGGGACTGAGAATAACCCTGAAGATGAGAATTTTCTGGAAAAGACATTAAAAACCAAAGAACTTCAAGCTGCTATCCTCAGTAAAACAACTTTATGAAGTAATTTGACTGCATTTCTATATTTATTGCTACACCGTACTGATTATGTATGATAATAAACCATCCACTCAACAGTAGAAATAATAGAAAGAAAGAAAACATTACATTAAAGTCAAACATTGAGTGTAGAATTGGCAGCTTATTACCCAGTGATCTTATTGAATGTGTTTTTATTCAAAAGTTTATCCATGCATTTGTTTTTCCATCTACCATTCAGTTATTTAATTAAATGTAATATTATTTATGTAAGTATCTATGCTCGGAAGGTTTCTTTTTGTTTTGGACATCCCAAATAGTGTTCTCCCACACCTTCCTCTTATGGGTCATATGTTTAGATATGTATAAAACTGAAGAAAAAAAACACACAAAGAAAGGATTCCAGAATAAGCTTGCTTATGTTTGTAATAATGAAATGTTATATTTGTACATTTTCTTTGTGTTATCTTTATACAGAAGCTAATCACTCATTTTTCTGTGTGTGTGTGTCTGTATTTGAGAAAAAAGTGGGAGACCAGGTTATTAGTTTGTAAAACTATAAACTCTGCCAAGTCTCCAGACTGTCTTTTTGACTACAAAAGTGAAATGAAAACAATCAAGCTGCTCTGTTTTCCCATCTTATTTTATTTGTAAATGATCAATTTTATCTCAAACAGTAAAAATTATTTGCATATGTGATTTATACATATGCAACAACAAACTCTCAGTTTTTACCATAGACTGCATATAAAAATGGACAATGCATCACTACTTCCCTTTGCTATGCAAAAGTGAAACCAAAATAATGCCGACTGCCATCCTGGCATATTGCATTCTTTTTGGTACTGATTGAGAAATGGAATGACAGCATCAGGCCACCAATCAAAGCTGTTAAATCAGCCAAAATACACCCGTTTTTATATCAAACAAGTTACTACAAATACACTCACCAGAAAAATTACCACTACAATAAAATGACAAAGTACTTTTGGAAAAAAGAAAGAAAAACTAAAAACTACAAATAGATTCAATAATTTTTGAACATTTAACACCTGAAAACCATTTCCCCTATGAGCTGGGAATCAGAGCACCAGGACTTGATTTGATGATGACTGACTGGCTGACACTAGAAGCTAGGTAAAGGTGTGTTTGAGATATTCATGAATATTCATATCTCCAGCAAATCACCATGACTGCTCCAATAATGTGCTAGGAGGTGGTCTATTATTCACTCTTGTCCAGGATGCACAGCATCCAAGATTTATCTTTAGACTGGCTCATCATCATCACCATCATCATCATTATCATCATCATCCTGTCTTTGGTTCAGGTTAATATATTAAATTATTTGAGCTACAAATGAAGAAAAACATTTTATGTGTTTGTGTTTTAATTATATGTTTCTGACAACATCTGAGGACATTTACTTTTCCAGCGTTAGTCTTTGTTATGAAAAATGTGTTGCTCAATTTGTCTTTTTGAAAGCAGATTTCTATTCAATGACCTTTGGTGGTCAGGGATTGCTTTTTTGATCAGAATGTTAAGGAAAGACCAGTTGGCAGTATGTGAATGCAATAAAGAAACAGAGTTATATATGATTAAAAAAATATATATTCAGTTATGTTTTAGACTAGATTCTACATCTAAGATAGTGAGTGACGACAAGTGAAGTTGTCAGATTTATGTTTGTCATATAGGTACAATAAAAGAACACAATTAAACAAACATTCATAGCAAAATGAGTTTGAGTCAGAATTATATCATTCTTGTATATTAACTCAATGCATAATAATGAAGTATTAGTAAAATAAGTAATGCTCAAACATGTAGCTGTGATTCTACTATGTGATAAATGAATAACTTCTTTCCATCATTTTCATTACTCCCATGGACACATTGAATTCACTCTAAGTACAACTGACATACACAGCACAACTTTTTGTTACACACTGGTTTCCCGAATTTGATTCTTTCGGTATTCTGTCACCATTTTCTTCATGTCATTGTCTGGCGTACAATCAGTTCTTCTGAGCAGAGTCTGTGGGTCAGCCAATGGGTCATATCTGCATCTGTAAGAGAGAGTTCAGTCACTAAAGATACTCAAAAGGATAGCTTAATTGAACTTTACTGTCTCTTTGTCTAAGATGACTGAGGTTTCAGACTTTGTCAGGGCAATTTTGACTACACACGGTCATACCAGAATAAACTTAACATGTCCCAAAATGATCATGTAAAGAAAGAAAAACATGTTAAAACATCAAATCAGGAGATAAAGCTGATAGATTGATAGCAAGATCATTTAAGGACAATGCAGTCAGCAAGGCAATTGATATAATGAGAACCAGTTCTGGTTAGGAGTGAATGTAAACAAATATACAGTATAAATGTTAAGAGATGTATTTAAGTACTTTATTTAAAGTCCAATCAAGGGATGATCTCTTTGGAAAAAAGCTTGAAATATCAAACGTTCAAGTTTTCCACCTGTCATTAAACACAGTATATATTTGTGTCTCTGAGACTGAGAAAATACTCTTATACCTTACGTATGAGCCTAACATGATCTGCATGTGTCAGGCAGCCTGTGCATGCCCATCTAGCAATCTGTAAATACATTTAAAAAAACTGCACATAGAAAATTGTTTATGCACATTCGTAAATATGGATTTTATTTCTAGACCAACAAATACATTTGTAGCTAGTTGTGAGAGAATTTTACACCCATGCATATCTATGTTTTATTTGAAAAGAAAGGGGTGAAACTAATTAACATGGCATGGAAACAACATGAAACATGGAAACAACAAGTCATTCAAGTAAACTCATAGTGGCAAGTTGGGTACTACAGTGAAGCAGTAGTACTTCCCATTTTTCATGATCTATTTCAGAATTTTAGCTCGCATCCACAACTCTTACAGTCACTGATTATGCTTTTCATTTGTGTGTACAAATCTCACTACAGCATACGTCTACAGTGCACAATGCATATTATCAGTCACTCCATGAAAGATCTTTGACCAAAACTCTGCCTCCTCCTCCATTAAATGTTTTATTACCTGAAGGACAGAAATTTTGTCAAGCAATCTTTAGTTCAGTTTTACATCGTAGTCCTGTAGAACTTCTTTTTATAACCATATGTCTCAGGCCCCTACCTCAAATCAGACAGGCCACATCCTACAAACATTTTATGGAGTCAGTCAATGAGAAGATTTAGAGATGTGAGGAGGGGCGCCTCAGTGTTTTATCAGTTTACCTGAGTACAGTCTACTTGAGTTTGTCTCGTGTAAAAGTTTGGACTTCATTATATCTGATCTGATCATCCCCCAAAACAAAGTATTTATGAGAGGAAATCTTAAGTTTTTATTTAAGTAATTGGAAAATGAATGTGCCCTCACATTGACCTTGTTAAACTGGATTGCTTGTTAAGGTCTTCTACCATAAGAATATAGATAAACTGTGGCTCAATGACACAGTTTCCTATGTATACTGTATGTAGTAGACAGTAGGTGCTTTTCATCTAAACAAAAATTGCTATCTCCAATAATAACAAATACAAATGGACTTACTTTCTAAGGTGCTTTTCGATAGCCTTCCGTTCGTACACTGTTCCGCGATTTGTTTTCACAGGATCAACAAATATCTTCTTGGTGAGTGGACAGATGAGATGCTGGGGTACATATGGTTTCACAGGCTCCTCCATCAGTTTCTATTAAATTAGAAGCAGACAGAAACTATTAAAATGTCATCATTTTGTAAATGTGCAAAATATTATACATTATATGCACATTCTAAATATATATTACAGTATTGTGTAGCGCAGCATTAATACTGCTCTTTCAAATTCTCTACCCAGATCCACTCAATTTTCAAAGTAACAAACCCCAGCTTTAAAAAAATGCTATAGAACTCCCAGCATACTGGCAGGTGTATGATTGCAGCTTTGTCTTTACCCTATAGAACTTGGCAAAACAATATAGCTGAATTTACCTTCTCAAGATCATCCGCTGATTGCCCGGCAATTTCCTCTGTATGTTTTTTGGCCTGTTGTTCATATGTCTTTTGGCTGGTCAGGAATTCCTCAGCCAGAATGCTTACAGAGAAAAAGATGCTTATTCAACTCAAATATAGCCCAAGCACAAATCAATATGTTGTTTACACAAACATGTTTGTAGATTTAATTCATGCTGTATGTGTATTTGGCAATGCCAGGACACCAAAGGTTAGGGTTAATGTTCATGGCCTCTAATGTTGTGACAGTGTGGTTCAACATTGTTATGTTCTGTATATACAGTTAATCATTTCAATGACTCTATCCATAGTATCTCTGTGGGAACTAACACCAATGTTTTGAAATATAACAGAACCCTAATTACAACACTTTAACACTTTTATCTAGTTTTATCTTAGTCTTAATTTACCATATCAACTGATGGCATATGTTGTGTTGTAACTGATGATCAATGAGTTTACAGTGTATGATACTTTAATCATAAAACATATAGGTAACACACCCACACCAGAATCAACATAGCCAGTGTACATAGCTAAATGTACATTTAGCAGGCATTGCCAGTTGTTTCTGCCATTTTAGAGACATAAAAACAAAGAGTGTAAAGAAGACAAATCACCAGACATGCATTAATTGCATGTTACACTGTATATAATATTAAGTCCCCTCAGTAGGAACAGACCACAGGGGGAATTTGCTAATTCCAAAAAGGTACATCCATTAAACAATTTGTCATGTGGGTTGGAGGTGTGATGCAACAGGTGCAGCAGCCTCTGACAAAATTGAATTTATTTGTTTATGTCCACACTGTGCTGAGATGAGGTCTAATCAGCATAAATACCTGAATCAATTTGTGCAGGGGTGTACTATTTGTGTGCAGGTGCTGCAGTCTTACCTGTCCAATGGATCTTGAGGCTCAGGGATGATCAGCAGTCCATACACAGCATCAAGAATATCTCTCATGGTGATTTGGGCACTGTAATTGCGGTCAAATATGTTGTGGCAGATGCGGCCCACGCTGTTAATATTGCAGTGGTAAATCTTCATTAATGTTAAGAAAATGACAAGGTACGTTGTTTAAAATAATTGAGGATATATTACTTTGCAAGAGTGCCTATGGAATCACTCTTGAGCCTCATTCACAAGTTTTATTATTTTTATATCTTAAACTTGCGTGTAAAAGATAAATGCAAAAACTATCAAAACACTGTAGTTGATTTTTTATGTAAAAACTGAAGTTTGGGTGTACTGTATGTAAGTACAATTTGTTTGTAAAAGTTAATTTGGTGCTTACCAGGCCATACATTTCATAGTAATAGGGCAAGAGCATGTAGCCTTCAGTATCATACATCTTTGAAGGGCACAGAGCTGTAGCCAGCTTGGAGATGGATGCCAAACCTTCGAGTGCAACTCCAAAGAAGTTCCTACCTGGCCAGAAGTTGCCAAGGGTGCCCATCCACCAGATTTAGGAGTGTGGGAAACCAAACCCTAGACAGCCTAGACAGCCATATTCTAACCCCATGAAGCATGAGTGCTACCAGGGAAATTGGAGGAAACACTCAGGAGAAGACCTCTCAGCAATTCACTGGATAGAGTATCCATCCCCAGTGGAGCATTGGCTTCAGCCAAAGAAAACCACAATGGGTCAGGTGTCATGAGGTGAACAAATCAACATGGACGATGCCATAACAGATCAATAATCCTCAGTAATGAGTAATCCAGATCAGTTTCCTCCACCAGCCAAACTATCTCTTGTTCAGCAGTTGAATTAGCCACTTGATGTGTTTCACTACTATCTTAAATTCAGTAACATTCTGTCTCTGGTGTTAGCCTCTGTCTTAGTTTTCTGAATCATCGACAATCCAGAGAATTACACAAAAAACTGCTGGGACACACTAGGAAACTGCAGCATAATTAAGGGGATAATTTACCATGAAATGCTGTGGATGTAGATGCAACATTAATGTTCCTTTCAGTCATATATTATGTGTTGCTATCAGTTAGTTCCAGGATGAATGTGGGCAGTCTGTAAATGTCTGTTGCACACATCTCACCCTTTTGATGCTATCTGACAATTTTGCATCACCTCTTAACAAACTGAAGAGGATTTTAGTACAAATGTGCATGAGTCCAATTTCTGCAGAGCAGACACACTGTGTGAATAAAACACTGTTTTCCAGGATAGAGGGGGACGACATGTGTATCCATGGTAACTGTACACAACCAGGATGAAGAAGAGATAGCCTACAGTAAATATTAACATGCAGTTTAAAAGTGATTAAAACTAGAGAAATGTATTTAGTTTTTATTGATTAAATTAACAACAATCAAAAGACTAAAATTTGACTAAAACTAATATAATATAAGGCTAATATAAAAATGAAATCAAATTCAGGTGTCAGAATTAACTATCAAAGATGCTAATTGTGAATGGGTGTATCTCAATAATCTCAACCTTCAGGGATGTCAGTGACCTGGTCCTACCCGGTGATCAATATGAAACACTGCGGAGGTGTTGTCTGCTCAGATAAGTACACGCTTGCCCTTGAGAAGGGGCAAGAAGTGCTTCAGCTTCAAATAAATGGTCTGGAGTTCTAGGCAGTTGATGTGCTGTCCACAGATGGTTTCAAATTCCCTGAACTGACCTCTTCTGCTCACCACACCCCAGCCATGAGGGAGGCATTTGCTGTCACAACCTCTTGACTTGCTGGGACAGAGCCAAGAGGCATGCTGTGCAGCAGAAGTTAAAGTTCCTCCACTAATGGAGGCAAGCAATGCACCCGTTAGTCATTTTGACCTTGACTCTCTTGTGTCTCAGAGGATCCAAGTAAAGGCTATTGAACCGCCTCTGTAGGTGTGCAGATCTATCAACCCCAATGGAGCAATTAAAGATGCTACACTGTCACTTCTGCACCCAGTTGGAAAGACTGCAGAAGACTGTAGCCTCTCTGTTCATCCCAGCACTGACATTGAATCCAGAGACAGTTTGATAAAGGTGGCTTGCTGTGTTTGATTAAGAGAGCTTTCCTTCTGATTCACAGACATACCTAATGCCTCTGTGTGATCAAGGACTTCAGCTGCTCTCTATTTTGCTTCTTGGAATGAGAGGTCGCAAATAAGTCAGTGGTCCAGGTAAGGAAGGCTCTTCACCTCGTTTTGACGCAGTGATGTCAGGACTGCCCTCATGAACCTTGTGAAAATGCAGGGAGCCAGAGACATTCCAGTTGGAAGGATGGCAAAATAATATGCATGTCCTTGAAAGACAAATTGAAGAAACTTCCTGTGGTACAAATGAATAGGAACATGGAAGTATGCATCCTTGAGATCTATTGAGGTGAGCCACTCTCCATGACTGATCATTTGAAGGATGTCAACTTGGCATAACATCCGAAATGGGAGGACCTTTAAGTATGTGTTCAGTCGCCTTAGGTCTAATACAGGCCTGAAAATTTTGCCTTTTTGAGTAAAAACCATTTTGTGTTTGAGGATTTAGCACAATAATGGCTTTGTCCAAGAGAACAGCAATCTCCTTTTACAGAAACTCGGCCCTCTGTGGGTGTCTGACAGACATCACTTTGACCCCAGAGGGAGGCGGGGGCCAGCAGTAAAACTTCAACCTGTAACCCTGGAAGAATGTCTGCAACACCTACGCATCCCAATAACCCAAATATTGTGTGGTATAATCTACCCCACTACTGGTGGGCTATTTGACCCGAGCTACATGGGAAAAACAAACAAAGAATCTACTTGTATTTTGTTTTTTTTTAAATACAAACTGGGGATGGATACTCTATCCAGTGAATTGCTGAGAGGTCTTCTCCTGAGTGTTTCCTCCAATTTCCCTGGTAGCACTCATGCTTCATGGGGTTAGAATATGGCTGTCTCCAGACATCCTTCTAATGGTGGAATCAAACTATTAAAAGGTGCACAGGCCTGAAAACCCCACCACCACCACCCCACAATCCTGCTTAAGATACCTTTTAATCCAAAAACTTAGCATCAGTGTCTCTCCATAAACAAATTAGAGGTAAACTGAAGTTTGATAGCAAGCTGGAACATCTCTTTCTACTTGCAAACAAACAAGGTTCTGGACTGGCGTGAATTCTGACTGGTCTAAACATTTATGTGAATGATAAAAATATGACACCAGGAATGTCTACACATAGCTGAGACCTGTCAGGTCTGATGAGGGCACCCCGGCCATCACAGCCATATAAGTCCTACAAATAGCTCCACGGCCAAGTGCAAGGGCATGGCACTCATGAAATATACCGTATACACTGGTGCTTTCTAAAAAGAAAATACAAAACAATCCTACAGAGTTTCTTACTTTGTGCATGTTCACCAAAATTCTGCCTGTGCCTTGGAATGTTTCATGAATAAGGTCCTGTGTGTGCAACCGTTCATTTATTTAGTAGGATACACGAGTGACAAAACGAACAGTTGGAGGCTTCACTGGGTAGTCAGGACCAAACTGGCAGAACAGCTCAAAGGCTCCATTCTCATAAGGTGTGTCAGGAGGGCCCTCCATGAGAATCTTCCAGAATGCTGAAAAGTTTAACATAAGACACAACAGTTGACTCCTGCACTCTTAAAGAACCCATGGCATGTTTTCTGGCTTATCTACACAGTTACAATGGTGAATTATCATCTTAGATGTGGCCTAAAGCTAAAAAATGTGGTGTAAGTATGTTCTAGTGCTTTTATGTAGAAGCAACTTAGTTTATACAAGTCTCACAAACTCTCGCTCAGGAGACTTTTTTTTTCTAACAAAATAAAGTACTACATGATAGTTTAAGGATTTCCTTGAATGGTCATAATGTCCAGGCAGTTGCATGTTAATGTAAGCTTGCCTGACATCCACTGATGCCATTGTAAAAGTGGAGTTTTTTGACTGCGCCCAGTTTTGTAGATATATTTTACCCCCTGCTGCCGCACTGTGACCAGAAGATGTGGAGAAAAATACAAGACCTGAGGCTACTGCATGTCCGAGAATGTTCCTTTACAGGAACTTGTTGTGAAGCCCCCCGTGGTGGACAATGATCAGTTCATCAATGCTGGATTCCCTTGGAGCACAGTACTTGTTTGTTTTGACTGCTTGAGGCCAGTGTGTCTGCAGCATGTGATCTGATGCAGGTTAGTGAGAGGACTGTAATGGTCCGTGATGTTATTGTTGGCACTGTGCTACCTGTTTGAATTAATTTCACTACTTTAGCACTGCATGTGGTCATGAGGGGGAAGACACAGCGACCACCGATTGGATTTACTGACCTTGGAGCTACTTGAAAGAAAGTAATGTTTCAACTACTTGGTGGGACTTAATAAGTTAAAAAAAAAAAAAGTACTGCATGTCTGTTAATGTATTGTCTCTGTAACGTTAGAGAGAATTGTTGTAAGGCTGGAGAAGTTACTATGTATGCATTATGCCAGTGCCAAATATGGGGTTTCTCAATTTCCTGCTTTGTTTAGAGTGTTACACATCTCTTTTCATCAGTATATATACTGTTGTTTACCTATCCATGGAGAAGAAATTCAAATTAATTAATGCTGTTGCGGTTTGTCTTGCTGTTCACTTTTGACGCAACACCGGCAGCAGGAGTTGTGTGTGTTCGTGAACTATCCTCTTGTTTTTAGGAAGAGGCTCTCTGGTTTTATTGTTCTGAAATAATTACAGACTATTTGGAGTTATGATGGGTGCAAAGCTAATCTAGAGGTACCTAAGAGTAAACATTAATTGGCTGGAAATGAGCATGCCATGGGCTCTTTAAGTTTACTGTTTATCCAATATGTCTTTAAACAAAATGACAAATGAAATTACTGTGAACTTGCTGAAAAATATGAATGAAAATTTAGTGCACTGTGTTTGGGCAAAAAACAGAGGGACATAAATTAAGTGTGACTGCCTTCACAATGTGCAATGAAATACTGTATGTTGCCATATGTCATTTTGCTCAGTGCAATAGTTTACACACTAGACTACTCCATCAGATACCACATTGACTGTTTGTTGAAATAAGTGTTGGTCTTATAAAATGAATCATCTGTGCAAGTTATAGGCCAGTAATTTCCTAAGCCAACCTACGCATTGTATTTAATATGTTACTCTATTTCTAAAAGCCAAACATCTATATATTATCATGACAGCATACTACACCGTATGTGTTGTCTGTACATCTGCACACACAGCTTTGGTTATTTGTAAAAGATAAACCTGTCTATACAGTATGTGTTCCAATATTTGAAAAAAAAGTTTCAGTGTAAAGAACTCAAATAAAAACAATAACATGTTTAAGAAAAACTATTTCAAGAAACTATGCTACTTACTGAAGTCGGATTCAGATGGAAAGATGCTAACGTAGGGATGTGGGTGACAATGCAGACTCTTCAGCTCCTCCAGGATGCGTTTGTCTTTCTCCATAAAACGCCCATCTTTGGCCTCCTGGAGCTTCTTTTTCAGTGCACTAGTTTGAAAGAATAGTGCTGAGATTAGAATGAATACAAATCTGAAAATAGTTTAAATGATTGACTGCTAAGTATACATTTACTTAAACAAAGAAAAAAACAAGTCTGGAACAACAGCTATTAGTTTTTTCATGACCCCAGCTGAAGAGTAAACTCTATCAGGCACTGGATATACAGACAATACTTGTTAGTAAGCTATATTCAGTGTTGGTTGGGCCTTTTTAGAGTTTAGTCACCTTTTTCCACCTTCTTTATTATCAAGGTTTTAAACTGCTACAGATGTCAAATAATATTTCTTTATACGTTTATAAATCCTCCGTATGTAACCCCGCTCGCTGGGGTTACTTGTATAGTAGCATTCCAATAGTTCCCTGTTCTCCTTTTTTGTCCATGAATGTCTTGTTCCAATAGCCCACTTCGATATATATATCGTCGCCCGGGTCAACAAGGTCCGCGTCAGGTGTAAAGGAACCAGGGCAACCTGCTGAGAAGTGGGCTATTGGAACAAGACATTCATGGACAAGAAAGGAGAACAGGGAACTATTGGAATGCTACTATACAAGTAACCCCAGTGAGAGGGGTACATATGGATGGATACTTTGAAACCCAACATCTACACTAACATCGAAACAACTAGTAGTAGCTCAGTGCTCTAACATCCGCAAGAAGCACCTGCTATCACAACTAGAGATTGGCGAGGTACAACACGAATTCTCCAGTAAGGGGGAGCCAGGACGACAGGTTAGAGGGGATGATATCAGGGGGGAGATATCATCATCATCATCATCACCCCCACAATTGGAGATTGGGTACCAAGCCCCAATAACAGGCCTGGATGAGCTTGATTCAAGACCAGCTGACCTGAGATTGAAGATCATGAGCAAGATGGACACCTGGAAATCCCGTGGCCAATTACCAAGACTAAGTGAAGTGCCTTCTGAAAATCTACTAGAGGATGTGAATGCAGCACTAAGGACAATCCCTACTACGACCATCACTGAGACCAACAAGCTGATATACACCACAGCAACTTTGATCCTTGAGATGCTTGGCTATAAGTTCAACAAAGGCCATAAGGAGCAGTATCCTCCATGGAGAAGGAGGTTGGATACCAAGATCAAGGCAGCAAGGAGAGATGTTAGGCAGCTATCGGAATTGCCGAAAGGCGTGATGAAGAAAGGGGTACCTAAGAAGTACAACTCACTGTCCATACCTGAGGCCTTAGAGACTGCCAAGCAAAGCTCACAGCCGTGGCCACATGGCTGAAGAGGTACACCAGAGAAGTTGAAGCAAGGAGAATAAACCAAATGTTCTCCACTGAGCCTTCCAAGGTGTACTCTCAGTGGCAGGGTAATAACATGGGAGCAGATCCACCAAGGCTGGAGACTGAACAGTTCTGGAAGAGCATATGGGAAAAGGAGGCATCACATAACAACAATGCCCAGTGGCTGGTGGTACCTAAGAGCAGACCACAGCAACCTCCCTGCACAAGACCCAGTAATCATCACATCGGCAGACATTCAAGAGAGGGTCTCAAGTATGAAGAGCTGGACAGCACCAGGCCCTGACATGATCCACGCCTACTGGTTAAAGAAGCTAACTTCAATCCATGAGTGCCTGGTGGGACAAATGAACCAGCTATTAATGGATGGAATCCACCCTGAGTGGTTAACTGAAGGCCGGACAGTCCTGATCCTGAAGGACCCTCAGAAGGGAGCAGTACCATCCAACTACCACCCAATAACCTGTCTCTGCACAACATGGAAGCTCCTGTCAGGCATCATAGCAGCTAAGATGAGCAGGCACAAGGCTCAATACATGTGCAGCGCCCAGAAAGGAATAGGTAGGAACACCAGAGAAGCAAAGCATCAGCTACTGGTTGATAAAGTAGTTACTCGAGACTGCAAGACCAGACATATAAACCTGTGCACTGCCTGGATTGACTACAAGAAAGCCTATTACTCAGTGCCTCACACATGGATCCTGGAATGCTTGGAACTGTACAACATCAACAGAACTCTATAAGCCTTCATCAATAACTCAACAACCCTAGAGGCCAACTTCAAGCCAATTGCACAAGTCAACATCAAGTGCGGTATCTACCAAGGAGATCTCTGTCCCCGCTGCTGTTCTGCATAAGCCTGAATCCCCTCAGCCAGATCATCACAAAGAGAGGTTACAGTGTATGAAGGCCACAATGGGCTAACCCCTGGACATAGGAATAAAGCTTAACCTCTGACACTAAGGTGGCATATTTGAAACATATTAAAGCTCCAAACACTGCTTGAAGTTTTATGATGGAGATATTCCCTCAGTAATTGACTGCCATGAAGCTGCGAATACAGTTCCCTGCAGACCTCCCTCTTTCATGTTATTAATTCAGGATAAGACCCCAAAACCTCCCAACTAACAACAACCTGCAGTTATTGTGGCAGCTACCTCCTTAAACCCTCAGATGTTACTGTACTGAGAATTTTTCATAAACCAGTATACTCTGGCTCTTTGAGGAAGTGTTACATTTTGTCTGAAATAACCAATGAAAGCTGTGTCACTGGACACTTAAGACCATATCTGTTTCGCACAGTATTTAGTTGATATAAGATGTTATTAAGGATAGGAAATTTAAAAAATAGTGTATATTAGGTAACAAGTAAACAGCTGGATATTTTGGATAAAATCTTTTTTGATATAACTTTCAAAACACTGCTTCCCTTCTCATAGCCAGCCAGTGTGTATGGAATTCACCTAAGCAACAAGCCCAATCAGAAAAGTGCTGCTTGTGTTGTCACCGTGAGGTATCCACAGCCAGGCAGCCTGTTAACACCGATGGGTTGCCACTGCCTGTTTTAACTTTCTGAGACACTGTTGAGAAGGCTGGCATAGTATTAATGCTGTTGATTGTCAAACTATATGATTAAATTGTCCAAAAATCCTCCCCTCTCACAGCCAGCTGGTTTGTACAGAATTCACCCAAGCAACAAGCCCAATCAGAAAAGCACTGCTTCTCTGAGACACTGTTGAGAGGGTTGGCATACTACTATTAACACTGTGAATTGTGTAGTCGATATGGGGGGGTGGGGGTGGTGGGGGAGAAGCCACAGCCTACTCACTATTTTGGCTGTCTTCCTTCAGTCACTTGGTCATCTGGAGGTCAGGAAAAGTGAGGGACTCTCTCATTCCTATTTTTGCCAGGGTTTTTAAAGGATTCTGGTCAGTAGACTCAGTCCCTTCATCCAACCAGATGCCACAGTTTGCACTTAATACCTTTTTTGGCCTGCACACTTCTATTCTTCAGAAATTGTTTGCATATTGCGTTCAGTATTTTTGCAACTGTTCATGACTGCTTTTTACCAGTTAGATCCAGCCTTGGATTTTACTTCCCCTTCCTTAGAAACCTAAATCATCTTAATGCTTAATAAAGATACAAGAAACTCACATTTGACTGAAATACCAAAAATTCCATCGCTTTCAATAGAACAATCAGAATTACACACTGATTTTATACAAAATTATCAATACCTTAAAATCAAAACATGGGTCTTTATATTTTGAATACCATACTTGACTAAACATTGATTATCATTGATTAGACATTGATCAAACATTAATTATCAGTCAAATCTTTATTTTTAGGCTTGAAACCATCATTGACTTTCTTAACAGACTGTGTGTCTCTTCTTTGTGTCACATACGTACACACACTTCTGCAGTTCTTCTTTTCAGGGATGTGCGTCTTACTTCCCTTTCCTCCATGATTCTGTATTTTCACTCTGTATGATTCAGATCCTAAATGTACTTTAGACTTCTAAATGTACATTTTTCAAAACAATCCTGTCTCATTTCATTCTTACACATTCACTAATGATTATTTCAAACTAAACACACACACAAATCATTTTATGATTATCTTAACTTTTCTACTTTATGCATTCTGCCATAGCATTTTAATAATTTTCCTCTCTCTCTCCCAGCTCCTCATGCTGTTTCTTGTAAACATTCTTGCTGTTCTTGTGTGAATTATAACTGCAAAGAGACAATTTGTTAAATAGTCTACTGCAACCCTTCTTGTAAGGTTTCTGATGCCTGTGTTTCTTGTGCTTTTTTGGTTCTCTCTGGGACCCGTATTTACGGGCTTGCCGACAACGGATACCAACTATGGAATGGAGCAACCATCAGCCACCTCCTCTACATGGATGACATCAGGCTGTATGCCAGGAGTGAACGAGACATTGACTCACTGATCCACACCTCTAGGATTTACAGCCAAGACATCGGAATGTCATTCGGACTGGATAAGTGTGGTTGAATTGTAACAAGGAGAGGGAAGGTAGTCAGAACTGAGGGGATTGTACTACCAGAAGGCAACATAGCAGATGCTGAGGACAGCTACAAGGAGCTTGGGATCCCGCAGGCAAGTGGGAACCATGAAGAGCCCGCAAGGAAAGCAGCAACCACCAAGTACCTGCAGAGAATAAGGCAAGTCCTGAGAAGTCAGCTGAATGGAAAGAACAAAGTCCAGGCAATTAACACCTATGCCCTGCCAGTCATCAGGTACCCCGCTGGCATAATAAGCTGGCCAAAGGAGGACATAGAGGCCACTGACATCAAGACAAGGAAGCTCCTTACAATGCACGGTGGGTTTCACCCCAAGTCCAGCATCCTGAGACTGTACACTAAGCGGAAGGAAGGAGGCCAAGGATTAGTGAGTGTCAGAGCCACTATCCAGGATGAAACAACAAATCGTCAAATAGTAGAAGTGGCTGATATCAAAAAATCCCACCAGTGGCTGGACAAAGCTGGACTGACGGAATTATATATATATAATATTTTAATAAGAGACTTGGGATGCACCCACTGACTGCAATAAAAGCCACTGCCCCCGGTGGCTGGTTGCAGTATATGTTATAATTCCTGCCTCCTCCATGTTAGAGGATGGAACATAACTCAGTCCAAATCAGATACACTTTTCCCAGAGGTCACTTCTGTCATTTTTGTCAAGTGTGTACAAGTGGTAATTTTCCAGGAAAGTTGGTTTTTAATAAGTTATTTGATGTAAAAAGAGGTGTTTTTCAGTTGATTTGACAGCTTTGAGCAGCAGTCTGATGCTGTCACTCCACTTTTGGTCACTACTGCAGAGAATCTGGTTGCAAAAACGCAAGATGGCAGCCTCCGTATTCATGATATTTTGGTTTCATGTTTGCATAGTGGAAGGTAGTGGTGACGCCATGTCCATCATATACACCCATATGGCCTATTCTTTTGAATGCAACATATCAGGAATGACTTGAGAGAATTTAATTTCTTCAAATTTGACACTTGTCCTCTTGGGACTCAAGGATGAACTGATTAGATTTTAGTGGTCAAAGGTCAAGGTCAGGGACCTCACATCTGTCATATTCCCATGAATTTGACTAGTTGGTGGAGGCATACAACTGTTAAGTGGTAAGTCTAGTTGAGGTTATATTTGTTTGAGTTTCTTCCAATGTAGTACATTGATCCAGTGTTGTTAAGCAACTTGTACTGCCTGAATCTATCAGCTGCACTGTAATCACAGATAAAAAGTAAGATATGTACTCATTGTTTGCCAATGTCCAGCCAAATCCTTCTCAGTCAACTCTATCAAGAAGAAATGTAAGCTATAAAGCTAAATACTGAACCTGGCATGTCTTCAAACAATAGAAATTTAACCTCTCTGACTGTGCTCAACGAATCATATGAAAGCAGAATAACGGTCCAACAAAGTAATCCTTGGCAGATGAAGCCTATTGCAACAGGCTAGAAAAAAAGCTTGTTCTGTCACCTTTCTGTCACTGTCACTTTCTTGTTCATCTCGCTTGGCATGACAGCTTCTGGAAATTCATCGTAGCCATGAGTAGCAAAGAACCCTGTTAAAAAAGTCTGAAAAACAACAAAGGGACATAACACCAGCACACCACTGTTATGTGCAAAACTAATTGCTATAAATGGATTACTGCAGTGTAATCTAATTTTTAAAGCACTTCAAACAGAATTGCAGACAATATTCAGTGTACTAACTTTAGTTATGGAGGATGGGTCAGCTTTCTTCTTGGGTTTCCTCATCTCCAAAGACAGAACAGTCTCAATCTCAAAAAGCTCGAGACCAGCTTTACTTGTTTCTGGTTTAAAGCAACAACCCCCTAAAAAAACAATAAGTTAAAAAAAAAAGATTTACCTTATTACAACTGACCCTGCATTGTATTGTGTTAGGTGCCCTAGGTTTTGATCAGAAATAATGCATTGTCTTTTTTCTCTCTGAATCTTTTCCTCTTTTTTGATTTATCATTATCTTGCTCTTCCATGTTTGATTTTTACTCATCAGTTCTAAAAGGTCTTAACAAAACACAACAATTTAACTATGACAATTAATTTTAGCATCAATAGACAAGGTGGTCCTGGTCATTAGCCCTAATTAACAATGCTTTGCCTTTTCTTTCCTCTCTGTACTTATAGTCCAAACTGTAAATATTTGGACAGTTACACATTTTTGCTTTTTGAATGTTCTACAAGTATCTGCACTTTAAGCATAACATGCATATTGTGAACAACAAATTCTAGTTTGTAACTTTACTACTCAGTATGTATACTTAATCTTTGTACTGTACACATACATATCATGTTGTTGGTCTCGGCCTCAGTGCCCAGTCAAATGGCCTTTGAGGCTTCCGAAAATGTATGAAATGGCTTTCCTCTTCAAACTGTGAAATTTATGTCCTGCCTGATAGTCTACCTAGTTTCAACAATTCTTTGTTCTTTGAAAGCTGCATCACTTTTCAGGATGTGACAAATTCTGCCTTCATGTTGATGACTGTAGGTGTGCTTTTAGAGCTGCATACGGACTGTACTGCCCTTATTTTCCATAGGGTCCAGAGTCTGTGATTGGGTTCAGTTTTGAGGCTCTTGCATTGCATACCATTACATAAGAATAATTTACTATAGAGTGTCATTAATATGGATCATAATGTTTACACATGTTTTGTAAACATTCTCAGGGGGTTAGGTCTAATGATGTGTGTGTTGAGGATTTCATACTGCACCTGTTGCAATACTGATTCCATGGAGAACATTGTTCTTCACTTTACCCAGAAGAACTGAATCCACGATGATGTTAGATTTGATCAGGTTGACTGCAACAGCTTCTGGCTTGTTTGAAGATCTATTCACAAATATTAAAATATGTTCCAAAAGCCCATCACATAATAACCAGGTGTTTTACATTTGTGTGCATCATATTTAAGAGCAATATCCCATCATTATAGCTAGGAACAAACTAAATAACCACAGCGTCCTTACTATTTTTCCTTGTTTAAAAACACATTCTACTTGTATAGCGACAGATATAACTCATATTTGTATTTCTATATTTGTAAGGACCCTCACTGACATATTGCATTTCCTAGCCCTTACCCAAACCTTAAGCATCCTAACAAATGTCTAAGCCCAAATATTAACCTAACCTAACTAAATCTAAACATCTGAAAGTCTGTGTCAGTGACTGTCTGGCCAAAATGCTCTCACTTCCAAGTTCTAAAACTAAAATTGGTCCTTACAAAGCTAGACATACAAATGCACACATGCAAGCATATTGTAAGCTGCAAGCTATACATTTATTAACACATCAATTATATTAACTACCTTGTGACATCATAGTTATAGCAAAGGGAATTTACCCCACGTCATTTCCATCTGTGAGACATAGAATGCGACGTCTACACTCAGGAAATTTCATCTTCACTTTTTCCAGCTCGAGCATTCCATGTTGCAGGGCATTATACAGCATGGTACGTCCAGTTGTTTCAAGAGTGTGCACTTTTTCCTAGAGAAAGGGAACAACTGGATCTATAAAGGTGTACTAGCCTATTGTAACAAGTGATAGTGTATGGCATACAGTATAGCATGAGCTCAAAAGTCCATGCTAGAGGGCAACTGATAGTTAAGACTCAATTGTACAATATAGAACTGAGCTGACAGGAAGAGAAAGATCATGTTGTGTAATGTACTGTATTTACCTTAAACTTCTCAAGTGTTTCTGTAAATGTGTGGAGTGTTGTCACTGTAGAGTCAAATTTCACAAGGCCAATGACATGATGGAAGTCATAAGCCAAGCTGCGTGTCGCAAAGTTATCAAAAAGCTGTTTCACGGCGTGGATTTTCTGGATTTCCACACTTCCATAGCAATTCTCAGACATGGATGAACTTGTATCTATCAGCACCTGGTGAAATTAAAGTGTAGAAATTAAGCACCTGAGCAATTCTTTTGTAATTTTGTTGCACCATAACATGTAATGAGCATAAGCATAACTTTATTGCCAAGTATTTCAAGAGCACAAGGAATTTTACTCCAGCTCAATGGCCCCCAATGTGCAAAACATAAAAACAAAATAAATACACAATATATACAAGCTAAGCTAAAAAAAAAATCACAAGATAGAAGAGCAACATAGACTAGCTGTTCATCACTGTAACAGCCCGGGGAAAGAAACTATCTCTGTGTCTGGATGTCTTGGTGTACAGTGACCTGTGGCACTGTCCAGAGGGGAGGAGTTCAAACAGTTTATATCCAGGATGTGAGGGGTCTGCAGAAATCCTCTTTGCCCTCTTTCTGACCTGTAAGGTGTACAGGTCCTCCATGGAGGGCAGGCTGGTAGTGATGATTTTCTCTGCAGTACTGACTGTCTGCTGGAGTCTGTTTCTGTCCTGTTTGGTTGCTGAACCAAACCAGACAGAGATGGAAGCGCAGAGAACAGACTCGATGATTCCTCTGTAGAACTGAATCAGCAGCTCCTGAGGCAGGTTGAACTTCCTGAGCTGACGTAGGAAGTACATCTTCTGCGGCACCTTTTTAATAATAGCACTGATGTTGGTTGTCCACTTCAAGTCCAAGATATTGTGGAGCCCAGGAACTTGTAGGACTCTATGATTGAAACAGTGCTGCTGAGTATAGTGAGCGGAGATAGGATGGAGGAGCTCCTCCTAAAATCCACTATCATCTCCACTGTCTTCCCTGTGTTCAGCTCCAGGTTGTTACGACCACACCACAGGGTCAGCTGTTCAACCTCCCATCTGTAGGCTGACTTGACACCATCTTGAATGAGGCCAATGACCGTTGTGTCATCTGCAAACTTCATGATTTTTACAGAAGGATCTCCTGCGGTGCAGTCATTAGTATAGAGGGAGAACAACAACGGGGAGAGCACATGGGCACCTGTGCTGATAGTCCGGGTGCTAGATGTGGTTTTCCCCAGGCTCACCTGCTGCTTCCTGTCTGTCAGAAAGCTGGTAATCCACTGACAGGTGGGGGCAGGCACAGTGAGCTAATGCACCAACAGCCATGTTTGAAAACTTGGCCTGCAACTCCACCACTTTTAATTTCATTTGAAAGCATTGCCATATCTTGGTACATTACCATAATGTTTTTATGGGCAGATTGACTAAAGTATGTGAAGTACTGAAGGATCAAAATTACCAGTATTGCCTCTTTTGGAGTCCTGGTTGTGTCAAATGAATGGTCATCCCTATGGTCAGCGGTACTGGCGTGAAAGGAGAAAAATGGTATGTTTTAAGGTGAGATATTATGTATGTAAAATCAAATAAGTTTACATTTGTGGCTGTTTTTCATTTTATAAAAAGATGAGAAATGCAGCCATTTTGAGTGAAAGTAATTCACAATATAACAATGACATTATATTTGTAAAAATGTCAGATTATACTATGAGTTTGAACACTACAAAGAACTGAGGTACTCACGTAGCTGCCAGTACGTTCACATCCACATTGTTGACTTTGCCAGACAAACAATCATATACCATAATTATTTCTGGCATTGACTTATTTTTATAAAGATAAACACCAAGATTGCCTGCAAAAGACAAAGTACTTTTATTGACAGCAACAGCAATAAAAGTGCACATACATTAGCACCAGGATAGCACAGGATAAATGAAAGACACTGGCAATCCTGTAGTTTCTCATTTTAAAAATTAGATAAGGGTCACACTTAGCACACACTTGAATAAGAACTTTTTGATGAACTGTGGTGAGATTGGAGGTCCATGTGATTGTGATGGAGCAACAGGTCTTAAACATACCCCTGCCTTAAGATAATTATACTGTGGTCAAGTCAATTGAAATCGTAATTGTGAACAGCTGAGTGGAGAAAAGTGTTCATGGCAGGATGTGAAGTCATTTCTGACTATGACATATCTCCCACTTGGTAAAAAGAACTACAGACATGTCAACAAACTGTTAGCAGAATGGATGCAATTGCACCAAAGTCCTACACCTACACCAAAACACTAATATAGTCAGTTTAGGTGACTTTAAAGGAGCTATATATTGTTTGTATCTGGTTTCACTTGATAACACACTGCTATAGTTATGTAACACAACTAAAGTAACTGATTTACGGTGTTCATCTGGTGTGACTACAGGTTAGCACTAGAGATAACCACCTGGGAATAATACGTGAACGCTCCCAAGTCATAAAAATATATTTTTTTCATCTTCTCGGCTCTGGTTTTCCCCTAACCTGGAAACTCTCTTCACTTAGCTGCATACAAAGCAGTCACATGAATGAGTTAGGTGGATTGTGATGGGGAGAGAAGCTAGTAGGAAGTACACATACGTTTGGATTATTCTAAGCTTTGAGGTGATTAACAATTATTTCTTTTTTTTTAAAATGTCTTTTAAATTACCTTACTGTTCTGTTCAGGCAGAAGGCTAAAGACTGGACCTGCTGACTAACATTAAAACCTGAGACTATAGTCACAGAAAATGATAAATTCAGCTTTTCAAATGTAAGTCACAAAGAAGCAAGTCTCTTGTTAAATGCACATGGCTTAAGCTTATTGTCCTAGTACACCATTTTATTTTGTTTTTATGACTTGTTATTTCAGTTAGCCTTGTTTTAGCTCTTGTCTGAGTTTTACAGTATTTAGCAGATTTAGTTTTAAGAGATCTCTAAGTTTTAACCTGTAACCTCATATGAGTGAGTCCAATACAGGTCAAACACATTCAGTAGACCTGCTTTATAGACACATCTCTCATAAGAAGGGGATAATAGGTGACAGAAAAAGCCAAAAGTGCAGTGTAGGATAACTAAAGAAACAATCCAAGCTGCCAGAGGTTTTGTAGCAGTACTTCATATCCACCACCCTTCTCCTTCATACTGTAGTAGGTAAATACTGTTCCCTCAGCACATTCAGCAACACAAATTTCTGTATTTATTTTGCTAATAGCTGTCTGATCCATACCTTCATTTAGGAACACAAGACGTGGGCCTTCACATCCTAGGTTTTTCAATAGCAGTGGTGGAGTCACTCTGAGATGAGGGAAATCTTTCATCTCCTCGGCCAGGCTTCCAAATGACTTCTCAGTATTTATACAAAAGCTGTTATTTAAACACATGAAATATTAAACAGATTACTGTGTTTCATATACTGTGAGAACTGGGTTATCTGAACACAAACACAGTCTAAAGTTGGCAAAATTGTTAAATTTCTAATCTAATTATAGCCCATACCTATTATCTATTTCCAATGTTTTTAACATGTCATTTCGACTTGGGCAGTTCCCTAGTAATATGAAAATAGCAAAGGTTATTCCATTGTATAAATCTGGTGATAAGCACAACTTCACAAATTATAGACCGGTTTCTCTGTTGTCACAATTTTCAAAAATCCTGGAAAAACTCTTTAATAACAGATTAGATACATTTATTGATAAACATAAAATCCTCTCTGATTGCCAATACGGTTTTAGGTCGAACCGGTTGACATC